AACAATGTACTATGAGAGATGATCGGTTACTGGTGAGTGGAAAAGATGAGGCACCTCCTTTGTGAACATCATTGATTTAATTTACCCTTTCTTAAGTTAACAAACTAAGCTAGCAAACTTCCTTCATTTAACAAGAATAACTTTTATGAGTTCTCTTTCCTCCTCAACCTTCTCAATCCCAGCTTAACATTTTTCAGAACAAGCATCCAACTTGCAGTGTCTTTTCTGTAGAAAGAAGCAGCAAGATATTTTTCTCTTCTGCACTTCCTTAATTTAACTTATTTTAGGATCCAAGGTATAACCTTTTGCTTGCTTAATCCAGAACCAGATTCTAAAAAAGCCTTGATCATAATAATATATGTCATTACACTAAACATATTATCTTCTTGCTCCCAAGTTTATTGAGCTTTCATTGTAATCCATTTGTTTGAAAAGCTCCTCCTGCTTTTAGTTTTACAACTACAATTAATACCCCATTTTTTTAGTATTCAGGAGAAAGATACAACCTGTAGGGTGCTTTGCTGTATGAAGGTTCTCCTTTGATTTGTTGCTCATGTGCTCTTTTGTGACAGATTCATTTTGTTCCCATCTAATTACCAGTAATGCTCTGATGAGAAAGGTTGTAAAGCAAATTGTTGCTTCAGAAAAATCTGACTTTTTTTGAATTAAATTTTACAGTTTAAGTACTCTTCATAGAAAAGGCTGAAGAAGCAAAAGACACAGGATTATCAACGTTTCACCTAAACCACCAAATTTCACTTTAAGTGCCAAGCATATTAAGGGCAGATTATAATGGAAAACATTAGATTTCATATATTGAACATTCAGAGCAAAGCAGTAACTGCAATAAAATCTGCTAAAATAAAAATCTCTATTGCCATGTAACTATAATGCTACTTCATGTGTGTATTTTGATTTCAAAATATTATGTTGCAACATGTTCACTAATTTTACTGTGGTTCTTTTAACCTAGAAGAAAAGCACCACTGATTTTTAAAAATCACACACAGAAAACTAACACCAGGCCACTTTGCAACTGTCTCAAATAATAGAGACAAAAGAATAAGGACAATTGCCTTTTAAAAGCATAAAGTGTGATCTAAGACTTTTGATTTTCTCTCTCGATTTTCTCCAGTACCACTAAACACAGCCATATGGACTGCTTTCTCCTTTTCAAAGGTGAAACTTCTTGGCCATTAATCTTTCCTTTATTTTGTCCCTATGAAAATCAATAGAGGCCAGAGATCGTATGTCAATCAACGGTTTGGTTGTTCGACACATCATATCCACAAGCCAGGCAATCTTCCTTCCTTATGTGTAATTTATTTATTGAAAGCTAGTTGAGGATCTTTAGTAACAGAATGCCAAGAGAATTGCTGTGGATAACTCAGTTATTAACAGCGTTTAACTAGCTATCTCTTTGAATAGACCATTTAATTATTCTTATTACAGATTTATTTCCGACAAACATCACATAGAACTTAAATAATGCGTGTGACTAAGGTCTGCTCGCTTTGTTTTGCTTCGTTTTAAAAGCGTTTTCTGTCTCAGGTTGTGACGGGAGAAAGCGCCTAAGCCTGGAATCCAAGTCTGAAGTGATCCTCTGCAGAGAAGGGATCTGAGCAAGTCCCTGACGCCTCATTCATTCTTCCAGGGGTGTCCAAACAACCGGAAAGGCCATCACAGAGCCCCTGTTTTGGGACATAGGGCGCTCAGAGATTTACTCTGGGCCCCCCAAATATAAAAACTGCCTTTCCTCCTCAGATCAGAAGAGTCCTGCCCGCAGGGCTTGCATAAGGCACATTCTGGAGCGCACCGGTTTGGAGTTTAGGAGACAGACCGACAGACACCTCGTTTTCGAGAGGTGTGTGGCAGCTTATTAGAGTTGCGCTCTTGCGGATCAGTCCACCGGCCACTGGAGGTGACCTCTTCCCACGACTGCCATGCATTCATTGGTCCGGAGGCCCTTTAGAAAACGTGACAGGAGTCCGTCCTACGGAGGACAGCCTCGGGCCGGCGGACAGCTCTCGGCGGGGCAGTCCAGGTCGTGCCCCCCCCCGTTCGCCCCCTTTTCCTGGCACCTCCCAAGCAAGTGGGCGCTTTTACCAGCTGGCTGCGCTCTGAGTTTCTCTTTCAATCTCTCTGCCTCTTTCTCCTTTTGTAGGCAAGGAAAGAAAAGAGAAAGAGGAGACCGGGTTGTGTGCCTCCCCAAGCGAAGTCCGCCCCCATCCCCTTGAGACTTGGCATGGCTGCCTTTGGGGAGCTATTCTTTCCCTTTCAGGAGGAAGAAGCGCCTCTTTATTTTTGGGGGTGGCCGCGGCGGCCGGCCTCTCAGCAACGCGTAGGTGCGATCTCTGGCATCAAAGGCTAAGAGGCCTGGGGGGGGGTGCTTCTAGAGAGCGAGCAAGCAGGGACGAACGAATGAATGAAAAAGAGAGATAAGCATACATGATTCAGGGAGGGGGATCTAGGAATGGCTTCCAGCCCCCAAATCCGCCGTTCCTCAACCCGGATCCTCTGCAGCAGTCGGAAGGGCGACTTTAAATGTCGGGCCAAGCGAAAACTGACACCCTAGTGTTACACGCATAGCATCCTGTGCATTTCCTGACCCGCGTGGTTCCAGTCGGCCTTCTGGGCCATGGGCAAGTAGCCCTGAGGAAGGCAGCCAGGGTTGCGGGAAGCCACGGCTTGGGTCCGTCCGCCTTACAACAAAGGGTTCAAGAAGGAAGCGCAGGTGCTCCGGTTCTTCTTTCGTCCTTGATCGCCAGGCTCTCTCTGACGTTTTGATGTGTGCCAATAAGCCCATCATTAATTAAGCGGCAAAAGACGTTTGTGCCACGCAGACTTCTGCACCAATGACCTCCGAGAGGTCCCCTCATTGACAGTCCAGTTCAGTTTTCCAAGAAGTCTGTACAAGCATATCAGACAACAAAACAAAACAAATCCCTCTGAAAACAAAACAATAAAAACAAACAAAAAAAAGCAAAATTAAGAGGAAAGAAACAGGTTGTGGCAGCTAGTTAAAGGCTAGCTGCTTCTTTTAACGGGAGCTTTCGTGGAATCCAGCCGGCTTGCTCAGCCAAAGGAGTGAGACTGTAGGACTGCCATATTTATACACAGCCCTGTGACCACCTGAGGATACGGATCATGACAATGCTCCATTAGTAACAGAATGTGTATCAGGCCCAAGCCTTGAAAACGCAAGTGGTTTCCATTACTAAATCAATCCATCTCCCATCAGATCTTCCTTTTTCCCTTCGGGTACATAGGAAGTTTATACATCCAATATTTCGGAGCTACAGTTAAAACCCTAACGGGACAGTGTATCTCTGTCTATCTGTACGTTATATCGATTTGCCATTACTGTACTGTAGTTAAGAGCCATATTCTAAACGGACTATCCACGGAAGCTATATTTATTTTGCCTGCGTTTTGCTTATTTCTGGCTTTCATCCCAATCGCATCTTTCCTTTAATGAGCACAGGGCGGCAAATATACCTCTCTTTCTCCCTCTCTTATCCTCGCAACAACAGCCCTGTGAGGTAGGCCAGGTTGTGAGTGAGTGAGAGCGAGAGAGCGAGAGAGATGTCCAAGGTAATCCAGTGAATTTCATGGCTTTGTGGGGATCACGATCTGCCAAGGTCACCCAGTGCATTTCATGGCTTTGTGGGGATCACGATCTGGATCGCCCTTTCTAGCCACTACGTCATACCAGCTGGAGACAACCGCGAAAACAAATGCCAGCCATCTGCAGATCCTCAAGAGGGCTAGAAACCGTTTTCGGGGATCATCGGGACGCTCCACCTATTCTCGTCAGTCCGCTTTACTTGCTCCCTAAACAGCGGTCATTGCCACCCCGAACTTAAATTTGCCCCAGGGCTAGCCAGAACGGATGCCTTCTCTCTTCCCGGTTTCTTGTTGGGTTGCTTTCTCCTGCCTTCTAAAATTGCAATCAAAACACGTCCAGCCACAGGTCACTTCAAAGTGTAGTAAAGCGGTGATTAAGGCTTGCGATTAGCGGCCGTCTTTTTCAAAATATACTTTGGGGTGCTGGAAAGGCCAGTGGAACGAGCAAGAGGTGGTTTACAAGCTGTCTGCTGGCCGCGTTGGACGCTGTCGAGGGCCCATAAAAACTCTCCAGGCTTTTTCCCGGATATATATACAGTATCTATATTTTTAAAGACCGAGCTTCTCGTGGTTTCGGGAGTGGTTTTGTTCAAAGAGGGGAAACTGTACGAAGGGTTATAGATTGTAAGGCAGACAGCTCCCACGTGTTTCCCGGATGATTTGGGTATCAGGAAGAGGGATTTAAAAAGTAGTGATGTTTGCACGCAAAAAAGAGACACGCATCTGGAGAGGTTTTGATACCTGTACAGAGTCGAGGATCCCCATCTAAAGGGCAACGACCAAACGACCCGTCCCACTTTTCAAGCCAATGGTGGTAACTTTGCGGCCAGTGCCTCCAACTGACGGAGGCTAGCAAAGTGCTTCCAGGTTGCCCCTGCTGTGGCTACAGGGTTTGGATACCTGGGCAAGGTCTGGGAAAGCTTCCTGACATTCCCCCCCCCCCGCCTCCTTTCTGCCCTCCTTTTCTTTTCTTCCTGGGCCATTTACCTGATGACCCCTTTTGTTCCGAGAAGCCTTTGTCTTCTCTGGGAATTTCTGAGCCTTCCTTACCCCTCTGGAAGGGCCTTTCCTCCACTCCCACCCCCGTCACTTCTACCCAGTGGCTTCCACTTTGATTCTTGCCCTTTGAAATGCAAACCTGCCTTTTAATGCAAATGCACTGCGAGGTTAGCCCAATAAAAAGCCTTTTCCTCAGGGAGGTGCCTTTGCAAAGTGGGGGAAAAACGAGAACGGCCGACCTCAAGACGTCCAGGTGACCAGCTAACCAGGAAGAGGCTGTGACTTGTCAGCGAGAGCAGGCCAGGCCAGGAGCTGCTGCTGCTGCTGCCGCCGCCGCACAGGGCGCATTATGCACGGGCGGCCTCTTGGGGATGATGTATGTGGGCTACCTGTTGGATAAGGACGTCAACATGTACCCCAACCCCGTCAGGCACCCGAGCCTGAACCTCAGCCCCCAGAACTATGTGCCTGTGCCCCCTCAGTACTCGGATTTTGCCAGCTACCACCACCACATGCCAGGGATTAACAGCGATCCTCACCATGGGCAACCCGCCGGCGCCTGGGGCTCTCCCTACACTCCCACCAAAGAGGACTGGCACTCCTTCGGCGCAGGAGCCCCTTCCTCCGTCGCTAACCCAGGGCAGCTAGGATACAGCCCCGCCGATTTCAACCCCATGCCGCCACCAGGCTCCGGACTGCTGCCTCCGCCCATGAGCGCCTCCATGCCCCAGCTCTCCCCAAACGCGCAAAGGCGCACGCCTTACGAGTGGATGAGGCGCAACGTGCCCACCAGCAGCAACAGCGGTAAGGACGCCTCGCCTCGGTGGGTCGGTCGGTCCTCTTTTGCCCCAGAGAGACAAGGGGAGCGCGCCGGGGTTAGGCCACCGAGAGCGGACTCCTTTATTCATTCCTCTTGGTCTCTCTCCTTCCCTTGTCACTCCTCGGCAGGCCCACTAGCTTCATTGAGCCCAGCGCAGGATTCAGCCGGCAACTTTATAAGGTTTACTCTTCATTAGTTTCCGCACGCCACCTTGTAGACACAAGAGTTTGTGGCCAAACGACGTTTTAATAGTGTGAGTACTTGAGAGCAAACCCGGGGTCATTTCGTACACGACAGGCCCGCCAGAGTCGCAAAGTAACTCGCCGAGTGTGTAGAGATGGTCGTGTGTAACATTCGTACATGTCGGTTTTGACGTCCATCAGCTTACGATGGGAGTGGGCTCATAACTCAGATTTAGATGGAATCCTTGCACTCTGAAGGAATCAGGCTTAATCCCTGGCACCTCCTGTTCATGAGAATCTCACCTAGCAGGTAAAGGAAAGGACTCCTGCTTGAAATGGTGCAGAAACGCTGCCCCTCACAGTAGGTAGCGGTGGCCGGATGGGCAAGTAGACTGGCCCAAGGATAAGGCTGCCAATTGGAACTGACCGCCCCCCACCATAGGGTCCAGCAGTCTCACTTGGCAGAAAGCTGCTTCCCATGGGGACTGGCCACTGCTTCCCCAAGCCTGTGTGAAGGGACTGCACATTACACCTGTGAAAAATGTTGACATTGCCCCATTTAAACTGCCTGGAAATATAACTGGATTTGAGCATGGTCACTGCCAGCATAGATAGACTGAAACCAGTTGCCAGAACTCAGTAGGGTGTTAGGCACAGCTAAATTGCCTGTAACTATATTGGCTGGCTCATACAGTGCTTAGCATAATGCTATCAATTTCAGTGCAGAAGGAAGATAATGTCCTTTAGAACTGAAAATAAGATGTGAATGACAATAATATGGAAATAAGATTGGCATGATACTGCTATGTAAAATTAATCACATTTGACTGCATAGATTTGAGATGCTACGTATATTTGGCCAGCTACACTGACAGCAATGACTATTGTTTTTATGTGCTGACACACTGTTTCCACTTCATGATAACCCTATAAATTAATGACCTGCTCAGGTCTTGTAAATTCTAGGTCATGGTTTTATTTATTAAGCCAATCCATCACATGTCCAAACCTCCTCTTTTCCTACTGTCTTCCATTTTCCTAATACAGTATTACTTTCTTTTCTATAATGTTGCCTTTTCTTCTTATAATATGTCTCAAGTTTGACAGCCTAAATTTGGTCACCTTAGCTTCTAGGGAGATGTCAGGCTTTATTTGATATATAACCTACTTTTTTGTCTGTCTGGCAGTCTATATTCACAAGTGATTTCAGCTTTCCAAAAAACTGCTCTTTCTTTAGTCTTTTCCCCCCAGTTCTGTTATCATGGGCAAACACCTCACCCAGATACTGGCACTGAGTCACTCACAAGTTAATTTTTGTCTTGTCTGTTAAAGCTTCAGTAATCACATTTTTCTCAGCTTAGTCTCTGCAGGCAACTATCATTCAGTGACAAAGAAAAGAAAATCAAATCTCACTGATTGTAATGACTTTTGGGATCAATAACAAAATCATGGACTCTTTTTGGGAGCACTGTGCAGAAGCTCCAGTTTTTGAAAGGCTGCTGTCTGTAGCTGACTGAGTGAGTTCGTAGTTCCTGTTCACTTAATGCACAGGAACAACCTTCTCATAACCACTGTATGGATGTCTGTAGGCGGGCAAGGATGGTGTGCTTTTCTCTATCCTTTATTCGTATGTTTGTTGTACACAAACATACACAGTGCGGTTGTGGCGTTGTGTACTAGGCATGCTAATTGTGCTGGACTACCTCTGTGTTGCTTCCCCTCCCTTTTTTCCTTGGAAAAAATAATGCAGACAGTCTTGGATTGTTGTGTATGGTTTTTTTTTTCAATTATGTAAAATACGTAAACAAAGATGGCTCCTTGGGGGAAGTATTCTTGTGTGTTCACTAACCAGGAAACAATTAAGATCTTTTTCTTCTGTTTGTGTCACACTTGTATCGTTTTAAGTATGTAGTTGTTAAGAATATAGTTGTTAAGACCATACATTTGCTTTGGAGTCTAGTTTAAAAGTACAGTTTAATGTATGAAACAGAAAAATCAATTTAGAAAGATGTTTCTGCTGACATAAAGGTTTCTTGCTGTTTTTAACATCATTAAAACATATATTTTGATATCTACTGTATAGATGTGAAGCATTAAAACACATTTTGGGTTCTGTGCATACAATGCACAGAAACTCCAACCCACCCAAAAAGGAGAGAGAGGGAGAGGGAGGGAGATGTGCACACACATATTGTGTGAAAAAGCCATATTCTCAAAGGTATCCCAATCAAATAATGAGGATGGCACAGTTATCACTGACCTATCTATCCATTTTTGCTCTATTACTAAGAATTCAGTGAGGTTTCCATTCTTTTAAACCAAGGTGATCCTCTGAATCTACTATTTTTAAAAATTACGTACACATGATCTAGTAGCTGTTGCCATGAAGCCATTGTGCTCCATTTATAATTATTGTATCTTACTGATTCTGAACTTTTAAAGTCTTTTCAGGTCATTAAAGCAGATTGTTATTGGGAATGGCAAACCAGCACTTTCTAATGAAATTAGGCAGATGGGTAGACTCAGTTGACATTTACTGGTAGTATGTGTGTCAGTAAATGCCAAGTAAAATGTGGAAGCTAAATTAAGCAAGGAGAAAGCTCACTACACTGGCTTCTCTACTGAATAATCATACACCCACAAACATTTCAGTTAATGAAGATGTCACAAATTAGCAAATGAAAAGGGGATGGGTGGAATACAGTGTGAGCATGCATTAAAGTATGGCTTTATTACATTTATATTCTATTTCCCTTCAGGAGAACCCAAGGCAGTAAACACTGGAGCCTAAGGCAACCTGTAGTTTTGTTACTGGGTGGAATCAGTAACCATGCTGCAGCTAGCTATTGCACCATGTGCTTTCAGACCATACCCTTGAGGTCTGTGAACAATCAAACTTTACAAAAGCTGGAGTTTCATTATCACCACCCATCCTATAACACTTTAAGGCGTGGGTGACATATACTTTGAAGTATGTGGTGGGTGTGATATATACTATATGCATTATGTGATAATATTGTATTCAAGGAAATACTGTATGTGAAGAGGGTTTAATATGATTGTATGGAAAATCTGGACATTTTGAAATATGGGTTATACCCGCATGTGAAAGGAGAGCTCAAATGAAGCCTTTTCTTGTACTTAAATATGCAGAGATAATGGGTGCACATGCAGATGCATGTACAGACATCAGTGCATAGATAGGAATCTGCTTGTAGACCACAATGTTACCAAGATCAGTTAATGCATATTAGTTACTCTCTTATTTATTTATTTATTTGTTTGTTTAACTTATATTCCGCCCACACTACCCAAAGGTCTCTGGGCAGCTTACATCAATTAAAATACAATTCTTCAGTTATTGTGCTGTACTCACGAGGAATTTTCAATTCATGCTTGTAAGTGGGAATTGTCAAATAGACATTACAGTAGTAATGTAATAATGGAGGAGTAGTTATTCTGCATGGATTAACACCAGAGAATTAGTGGACAACATGGAACAGAGAATGTAAGAAATTGTGTTTTATGCTATCAAGTCAGAACTGACTTGTAGGCACCCCAATAGGCCTTTTAAGGTAAATGAGATATTTGAGGAATAGTTTTACCAGTTCCATTCCCCCAGTGAGCTTCCATGGCCAAGTAGTGGATTCAAACTCTGTTCTCCAGAGTCCTAATACATGCGTTCTATCCACTATGCCACAATGGGAAACCCTATGAGAAATTAGAAAGTATTGTATGATATAGCTCAGCTGTTTATCACTGTAAGATACAAAAACACAGGACTCCTATGGCTACTCTTTCAGATGTCACGTGTACGCCTCAATAAATAGGTTTAACTCAGTCATTCTGAATGGTGGCACTGGCACATTTGAAGGGGGCCACAGAATGGAAACAATTTTTCACACACCCCTTATAAGGTTCCTTATGCGACCTATACAATTCTGATTCAGCCTATATTTCTTTCATACTGTGTTTATAGCTGTGGCAAAAAAAAAAAGTTGAGAATAGCTGGCTAACAAATTAATTGTGCCAGAAGTTTCACAGGTCACACCCTACCTCACCATTTGTAAATTTAATGTATGTGATGAAGGTTGCAATCTTATACCAAGTTACCTGAGAGTACCACTCATTGGACGGACAGATTTTTTGACATATATGAAGAAAGTTTCTATCCTCTTATGATCTGACTTCCTATGGGTATTTTTTTTCTGTAGACAGCCTGTGAGTTTAGGTAGAGGGTCACTTTATAGTATGCACATTTGTATGAAGATGTGGAATATTTGACAACTTTTTGATGATATTTGATCAGGAATAGAGATATGGAATGAAGAAACTCCTTCTCCAAATTTGTGATCCATGGCTTTCATTTTGTTCTGCTATAGTAACATTTTTATTTATCTGTGCTCTGTTCATCTCAGAAATTATACATGGAAATGATGATATACAGTGACCCTCTGAATTAATGACCTGCAAAAAACCTTACCATTACTGTCCCTATTCAGGTCTGGCAAACTACAGGCTGTGGTTTCTTTTACTGAGTCAATCCACCTCCTATTAGATGTTCCTCTTTTATAGCTGCCTTCAACTACTCCGAGCATTATTGTCTTGTCTCATGATATGTCCAAAGTGTGATAGCCTCAAGCTAGTCACTTTCATTCTTAAAAAGAGAGTTGGTTTAATTTCATGGAGAAACCTGTACTGTATTTGTTTTTCTGGCAATCCACCGCATCTGTTAAACTCTCAACCACCATATTTTAAATTACTGTATTCCCTCACCCCTTTTAACTGTCTTTACTAACCCC